TAACAAGAGCGAAACTCCGTCTCAAAAAAAAAAAAAAAAAAAAGCTGCCTGTGACAGCCCCATGCAATGCTCATTGCTGGCTCCAGCCTGAAGTGGCTGCGGGATAAGTTGTTACCGCATGGGGCAGCTTCCGTGGGTCACCACTGAGGGTTTGATCACTGGATCTCAGGCCAGAGTACCTCCTACCTACCTGTCACCAAACTGCGCCCCAGATGGTACACACACACACCCCGCAGCAGAACACACTCGCCCCGAGATGATGTACATACTCACGCCCCCCCAGACGGTGCACACACTCACATTGCAGCAGCATGAGTGTCCAGTGGTGATGGATAATTACTGATTTTAGTTATTGGAACAAAATTAAGCCAGGGTGATGTTCCATCCTCGGGGACCTTGCCACGGTGGGAGCATCCCTGTGTCTCCAGACGTGGGGTGCAGATAGGCTTCTGTTCATGTGCAACCTCACCAGGGATGACTGAGAGAGCTACTTCCTCCTCCCTCTGGGGCTCGATCTCGGTACTCAGCACACTGGCTCATTCCTGAATTTTGTATTCGATGAAATCCTTGGCAAACCACCAGCTATTCAGCTCCACAGTGACTGCTGGGACAAAAATAACCTGGTAATTAATGTTACTGAGTTATTAGGCACACATACATAATTGCTCCTTATTTAAAAACAGACAGCTGAGCATCTTAGGACAGAAGTCCCTGCTCAGTCAGCCTTTCTTCTTACTTTCCCCCTTTATTTTCCCCTTGCGAGAGCATCATGTTAGAATCAGAACCCAAAGCCAACAGCACCAGCCTGGCTTGGGGTTGGACTGGGCTTAGGTGTCCTTGCCTCCCCGGGCTCCTGTTCAACTGCTCTGGAATGTGGGAGCAGGGGAGGAAGGTGATTTTTTTTGGTTTTTGTGGTTTTTTTTTTTGAGATGGAGTCTCGCACTGTCACCTAGGCTGGAGTGCAATGGCGCAATCTCAGCTCACTGCAATCTCCGCCTCCTGGGTTCAAGCAATTCTCCTGCCTCAGCCTCCCGAGTAGCTAGGACTACAGGCTTGCACCACCACACCCAGCTAATTTTTTTGTATTTGTAGTAGAGGCGGGGTTTCACCATATTGGCCAGGTTGGTCTCGATCTCCTGACATCATGATCCACCTGCCTTGGCCTCCCAAAGTGCTGGACTACAGGCGTGAACCACTGCGCCCGGCCGGGAGGAAGGTATTTAAGAGAGAATGCTGAGCGGAACCACTTGGAGCTTGACCCCACCCATGGGGTGGAGGAGCTCTTATCCCAGACCCTGGCGCATCCCCACCACAGCACTCACGGACTGTGGTATTCTCCCTTCTGCCTGCTGGCCAGGCCACAACCAATGGGCACCTTCTACAGGAGTGGCTCATGCAGGTCTAGGGCAGGTACACTGCCTTGTACTAGCACTATCCAGCCCAGGAAAGGCGGACTCTGCTGCCATCACTGCTGCAGAGGTTGGGGGGTACCTCTGCCCAGAAGGGACATGGAGACTTGGGCCAGGTCCGGGTTGAAATACGGCATTTAGAGGTACAAAAGGATGGTCCTATGAAACGCTGAGGCTCATATCAGGGTCAGAGACCACCTCCTGCTGCCCCAGGCAGCACATCCCCGAGACCTGGGGGAGCCCTGGGGTCAGCTGGGCATCAGAGCAGGCTGAATGGGGCACCCTGAAGGTGGTAAGGCTTCTGTAGCAGACCCCAAGGGTTCTAGGGCATGGCACAGTCCCTGGAAACAACCAAAAGCATTTCCGCAGTTCTGCAGACAGGAAGCTTCAGGGGCAGGTGCTAAGTGGGGGGCACACGTGTGCACACAGGTGTGAACACCTCCAAGGGCATGAGTGGTGGGTGCAAGCACCAGTTGCACTCTCAATGTTACGAATGTCTGTTATTTCACATTTCATCAGGAGCAAATGTTTTGTGAAATTGATGTGCAGTGATCGATATGGAAACTATTTTGAAACGCTTGTCAGGATCTAACCACTGCACCTTGGTTTCAGACCCACAGTGTGATGGCAGGATAGCCGAGCCCTGCTCCTTGGAGCTGCCTCTCCATGGCACAAGTGCTCAGGGGGTCTTCAGCCATCGCTTGTTTTTTTTTTTTTTTTTTTAAGAGACAGGGCTTTTCTGTTCCCCAGGCTGTAGTGCTGTGGTGCAGTCATAGCTCACTGTAGCTTCAAACTTCTGGGCTCATACGATCCTGCTGCCTCAGCCTCCTAACTAGCTGTGACCACAGGGATGCACCACCATGCCTGACTAACTTTTGTATTTCTTTTTTGTAGAGGTGGGGGGTCTCACTTTGTTGCCCAAGCTGGTCTCAAACTCCTAGGCTCAAGTGATCATCCCACTGTGGCCTCCCAAACTGCTAGGATTACAGGTGTCATCCACTGTCCCTGGCCCATCCATCACTTCTTAGACCCTCAGGTCTCATGGATGTTGCAGGAACTGACCCTTTCCACTCAGTCACCACTATGTCCTTATTTTCTTCCAGTGTCCAAACTGGGACTTGAAACTCAGTTTTTTTCCTTAAGGCCAGGGCTCTTCAAGTTTAGATGTCTCTCCTAATTGCAAAAGAAATATTTGTTTGATTCATAATGTAAAATACTCATAAAACAGAGAAGTTCCCATCCACTCCCCCCGACCCCAGAAATTAACTCCAAAAGACGCAGAACAGAGCGGCCCTTGGAGGCCCACATGCTGTGCTGTTCAGTCTGTCCTTGAGCTCACGCTTCCTGAAGCCCGAGGGTTTGTTGTGGGTGTTCCCAGGGCTGGGGATAGATGGACAGGAGGAACAGCCCTGCGCCCTCTAGCTTGGGCTCACAGGCATGCTTGGTGCCAGCCCCTTAGGGCCTGACAAACCCATCCCCTGCCATTGAGGGTGTGGATGTGTGTCTCTTCCCAGCATCTGCCTGTTTCCCAGGCAAGACTCCAAATGTAGTCCTGGCTGCAGGCTCCCAGGAGCTCACCTGGAGCCAATGTGCTCCTTCCTCCTGTGCAGGCACGGCGGAACTGCCAGCTTCCTGTCCTCTCTGAGACTGGCCCTTACTGCCACTGAGGCCAGTTTTGTGTTTGAGGAGAGAAAAAGAGCTGGCTCACTCATTTCCATCTGAGGCCGTCAGCAGTGCTGTCCTCTTGCAGGCTCATCTTGGCAGCCAACAGGGACGAATTCTACAGCCGACCCTCCAAATTAGCTGATTTCTGGGGGAACAACAATGAGATCCTCAGCGGTGAGTCTTCCTGTGTGCTTCCCCAGCCCTGGCGTGGCCTGAGTGACCCTAACTGAGTGGTGCTGCTTTCCAGTGTGATGGCAGTGTAGAGGTGGAACCAAGGGGGTTTGGGGTCGGGGCCAGCATGGGGGTGGCCAGCCCCAGTACTCGGTGTCGCCAGAGCTGCCCACCCAACACTGTCTGAGTGGCTTCCCGTGCCATGAGTCTGCATGGGGGGCCTCATCATGCGAAAGGATTAATTGGTTTTATTTGGATCCCTCCTTTTGGCTGAGGGCGTGTATGTGGATTTGTGTGATGTACAGATCCACATTCAGTCACTTTGTGAAGCAACCCAGTCGTGTGTGCGTGCATGTGTATGCATGCGTGTGCGTGCCTGTGTTTGTGTGTGTTTGTGCATCCCTTGCTCCAGGGATGGCTGGGCTGAGTCTGGGGAGCTGGTGCTGAAGCCCTGTCTGTCACCTGCCCCATGCCTGTGTTGCACGAGGTGTACTCATAGGGCAGAAGTGGGGGTGAGAGCCAGGCCCTCCCCTCCAAAGATACCAGCCTCATTGAAATCCTGTTGGACTGGAAGCAGTGCCTGTCCATGGGGTGGCAGGAGTCTACCTAGAAGGTGTGCAGAGACAGCTAGTGAGGCCACAGGTTTCTCTGCCTGTGTGCCAGGTGCCAAGTGGGCCCAAGGCAGCCTGGCATGTTCCAGGGTGCCCACTCAGGCCAGATGTGTGACCCTGTGGGCCCAGGGAGGCTGTGTGTGCCCTGTGCTGCCCTCCCGGGTCGGGAGGGCAGGTGTTGGGATTGCAGGTGTGAGCCCAACACTTTGGGAGGCTGAGGCAGGAGGGTTGCCTGAGCCCAGGAGTTCAAGACCAGTCTGGGCAGCATGGCAAAACCCTGCCTCTACAAAAAAATACAAAAATTAGCCAGGCATGGTGATGTGTGCCTGAGGCCCCAGCTATTCAGGACGCTGATGAGGCTGGAGAATCACTTGAGCCTGGAAAGTAGAGGTTTCAGTGAGCTGAGATTGTGCCACTGCACTCCAGCCTGGGTGACAGAGCAAGACCCTGTCTCATTCCATCAATCAATCAAATAAAAGCTCAGCTGTGGGCTGGGCGTGGTGGCTCAAGCCTGTAATCCCAGCACTGTGGGAGGCCGAGGCGGGTGGATCACGAGGTCAAGAGATCGAGACCATCCTGGTCAACATGGTGAAACCGCATCTCTACTAAAAATACAAAAAATTAGCTGGCATGGTGGTGCGTGCCTGTAATCCCAGCTACTCAGGAGGCTGAGGCAGGAGAATTGCCTGAACCCGGGAGGCGGAGGTTGCGGTGAGCCGAGATCGCGCCATTGCACTCCAGCCTGGGTAACATGAGTGAAACTCCGTCTCAAAAAAAAAAAAAAAGCTCAGCTGTGGGGTTTTTACAGGAGTACTTCTGTGTAGCCTGTGGCCTGGCGGTGCTGTGAGAATGCTGCCGAGGCTAGGTGGCACCATGTGGAAGGAGGACAGGAGCAGGGAGACTGAGGCAGGGCGGTTCCAGGCCTGCCAGGATAGGAGGCTACAGTGGGTGCAGGGCTGGTCAGGACAGGTGGGTGAAGGCATGGGACTTGGGAAGTGGAGCGTTTTTGTAGATGAAGATATGGTGGCTCAGAGGGCTACCTTCCTCTGGCTCCTTGACTATTGTGCCCTCCTGGCCTCTATCCCTCTCTGGCACCCAGGTCTGTCAGCTGCATCTGAATTAGCGCCAACCCCAGGAACTCCAGACTTGTGGAATTGTTCACCCCTGTGGTGATTTGGTGATGGCAGCTGCTGCACGGATGTACACAGCCTCCTGCCAAGTGTCAGGGTGGCCGTATCACTAAGGCCCACGTCTTCTCACTCTCTGGCATCACCAAATTGTATGCAAAAGTTTAGGACAGTGGTTCTCCACCTGTGGTCCTTGGGCCTGTCGTACCAGCATTACTTGAGAACTTGTTAGAAATGAAATCACCCAGGTGCGGTAGCTTACGCCTATAATCTCAGCACTTTGGGAGGCTGAGGCAGGAGGATCCCTGGAGACCAGGAGCTTGAGACCAGCCTGGGTAATATAGTGAGACCTTGTCTCTACAAAAAAAAAAAAAAAATTAGCCAGGTGTGGTGGCATACGCCTGTTGTCCCAGCTACTCGGGAGGCTGAGGTGGGAGGATCACCTGAGCCTGGGAGGTAGAAGCCGCAGTGAACTGAGATTGAGCCACCATACTCCAGCCTAGGTGACAGAGCAGACCCTGTAAAAAAAAAAAAAAAAGCAAATAATTAAATTCGTAAACATTTGGCCATTACTTCTTGCAGTGGTTTTTCTGTCTTCTCTCTCACTCTCTCCCTCCAGTTACACGCACGTATTAGTTCACTTGCCCTTGTTCCACACCTCCATGATGCTCGCTGTATACTTCTCTCGGTGCGCCTGGATCTCTGGTCTCAAAATCTTGACCTCGTGATCCACCTGCCTCTGCCTCCTAAATGCTGGGATTACAAGTGTGAGCCACCGCACCTGGCCTGGGGATGAGATTTTAACATGAGGTCTGGGGGACAAACATCCAAACTATGCACCCACGAACTCTGGCTACCTCAGTTTCCCCAAACACTAAGCCCCTCTTCTAGGCTCAGGGAGGCTGCTGAGCTTGGCCTGGTCCCTCCACTCCCTGGGATGAGCCCTGGAGTCTCTCTAATCGTGGGCTCACTTTGTTTCCTGTCTCTCAGATCCTTTATTGTAAAACTCGTTTGATATGGTTTGGCTTTGTCCCCACCCAAATCTCATCTTGAATTGTGGTTCCCATAATCCCCACATGTCCTAGGAGAGACCCAGTGGGAGGTAACTGAATCATGGGGCAGTTACTCTCATGCTGCTGTTCTCATGATAGCGAGTGAGTTCTCACGAGATCTGATGGTTTTATAAGGGGCTTTTTCTGCTTTGTTTGGCATTTCTCCTTCCTGCTACTGTGTAAAGAAGGACATGTTTGCTTCTCCTTCCACCGTGATTGTAAGTTTCCTGAGGCCTCCCCAGCCATGGTGAATGATGAGTGAATTAAACCTCTTTCCTTTACAAATTACCCAGTCTCAGGTATGCCCTTATAGCAGCATGAGAAGGGTCTAATATACCATTGTTTCATGTGTTTTATTTTTTTGGTTGTTTTATGCAGGAGGGTAAATCAGATCCTTGTTGCTTGGGCAAATTTGGAAGTTTTGTTCTTGTTTTAATTATTGATTTGTAAGAGTTGTTTATCCATTCTGGATATGAGTCTTTTATTAGAGAAATGTATTGCCTACTCATTTTCTTTCTTTCTTTTTTTTTTTTGAGATGGAGTTTTGCTCTTGTTACCCAGGCTGGAGTGCAATGGCACGATCTCGGCTCACCGCAACCTCTGCCTCCTGGGTTCAAGCAATTCTCCTGCCTCAGTAGCATTACAGGCGCACACCACCATGCTCAGCTAATTTTTTGTATTTTTAGTAGAGACGGGGTTTCACCATGTTGACCAGGATGGTCTCGATCTCTTGACCTCGTGATCCACCCACCTCGGCCTACCAAAGTGCTGGGATTACAGGTGTGAGCCACCGTGCCCGGCCTCATTTTCTTAATGATAGCTTTTGGTGAGCAGAATATTTTATTTTAACAAAGTACAGTTTATCTTCCCCTTTATGGGTTGTTCTTTTTGTGTCTTATCCAAAAAGTTTCTGCCTACCCAGAGGAAAATATATAACAATATTTTACTCTGTTTGTTTCTAGAAGCCTAACTTCGCATTTTATGTTTGGCCTATGATATATCTCAAGGTTTTGTATATGGTGTGAGGTAGGGGTTGAGATTTACTGCCTCCCACCCCCAAATCTCTCTGGTTGTTCCAGCATCATTTATTAAATGGATTTTCTTTTGCCTAGTTCATTACTGTGGCACCTTGGTTGTACATCAGTTGACCACATACATGTGGGTCTACTCCTGACTCTCTTGTGTCCCATTGATCTGTGTATCTGTCTTGATGCCAACATCACACTGTCTTTGAGTGATGCTGCATTTCAGTAAGTCTTGAAATCAGACAGTGTGGGTCTCCCACCTATGTTCTTCTTTTTCAGGACTATTTTGGCCATCTCAGTTCCTTTGCATGTGCATAGATATTTTAGAGTCAGTCTGTTAATTGCCATAAAACAAAAAGCCCACTGGGATTTTGATTGGGAAGGTGTTGAATTTATGGGTCGTTTGGGGAGAAATGTTACCTTAACAATACTGAGTTGTCTAAGAAGTACTCAGTGAAACAAATAACAAACACTATTGAGTCTTTCAGTCAGTATATATGTACATCTCTCCTTAAATCAGGTCAGCTCAACTTGAGACCCTCTACAGTACCCTGGAGTTTTCAGTCTTTGTCACCCATTTTTCATTCAATATTTTCCTATTTTTAAAAATTATACTAAGGATTTTAAAATGTTGTAAATGGCATACTTAAATTTTCATTTTCCAGTTCATGCTAGCATTTACTTATTAGTTCTAAGACATTGGTTTTGCTATTCCTTTTGGGTTTTCTTCATATATGATCCTGCTGGCTGCAAATACAATTCATTTATTTTTTATCTTTGTATATTTTCTTTTTCTGTTATAATTGATTATTATTACAAAAATAACATCTTAGCTAGTGCAGTGGCTCACCCCTGTAATCCCAGCATTTTGGGAGGCTGAGATGGGAGGATCGCTTGACTCCAGGAGTTTGAGACCAGCCCGGGCAACACAGTGAGACATTGTCTGTACAAAAAAATGCAAAAATTAGCTGGATGTGGTGGTGCATGCCTGTGGTCCCAGCTACTTGGGGAGCTGAGGTGGGAGGATCGCTTGAGCCTGGGAGGTAAAGGTTGCAGTGAGCTGTTTGATCACCACAGAACTCCAGCCTGGGTGACAGAGTGAGACTCTATCTCAAAAAAATAAAAAATAAAATAATAACATCTTAACAACAACCTTTTTTGCCCCAATCTTTGGGTAATATGACCCCCTGGTGTAAGAAGGAGCCCTTCTGTGGCTTTCAGGGCCTCTCCAAGTGTGTGGCACTAGCAGTGCCCTGTGCCCTGCAGACGATTTGGTCAGGGTGAAAGTCCTGGGTGTGTGCTGGGCTCCTTGAAGGGTCTGCCCTTTGGGCCTGGTGCATCCTGCTGAGTGAGGACAGCCAGTGTGCCTGCACCCCATTCATGCGATTGGAGCCTAGCACTGCCCCTCAGCCTCGACACTTGCCCAAGTGGGAGGGTGTGTTCTGCAGGTGTCTCTTGGGATGGGTGTGGTTGGTGCCATAGTTGTCCTTCAGGGCAGGGATCTCACTGGCACGACCTGTGAGCCCCAGGGGCTGCCTGGCCGTGTAGAGTTCCGCCACTGTTCTGCAGCCAGGGCTGCTGGGCCAAGCTGCATGTCAAATGTCCTCAAGGAGCTTGAGGCAGGAACTGGGCCAAATATGTGTCTCCCGGTGCTGGGGACCAGGTGGGGGACTGGAATGGGTGGCATCAGTGGTGGTAACACTGTCATCGGCCACAGGGCTGGACATGGAGGAAGGCAAGGAAGGAGGCACATGGCTGGGCATCAGCACACGTGGCAAGCTGGCAGCACTCACCAACTACCTGCAGCCGCAGCTGGACCGGCAGGCCCGAGGACGAGGTACGGTGGGTGGGGTGGGGCTGAGGTGAGACAGAGTGAGTGGGGCGGGCCTAGGTGAGACAGAGTGGGGTGGGGCGGGGCCCGAGGTGAGACAGGGTGGGGTGGGGCGGGCCCCGAGGTGAGACAGGGTGGGGCGGGGCGGGGCCCCAAGGTGAGACAGGGTGGGGCCAAGGGACTACAGGACTGGCCAATATATGGTGGGGCGGTGTGGGGGGGCTAGGGTAAGAAGTGCCAAGGTGTGTGGGTGTGGAATGGGGCAGGGCTGAGGTACCGTGGGGCAGGGCCAGGTTATGGAGTGGGCGGTACCAAAGTGTGGCAGGGAAGGGCCCAGGTAAGGGTAGGGACAAGGAGGGGGAAAGCTGGGCCCTGTGGCAGGTGGGGGGCTTCCTCAGGCATACCACTGCTGCCACTGAGGTGTGCTGCAGGGGTATGTGGCAGAGACAGGAAGAGTGAGGAGGGGAGCGTTCCCATTTCCCATGCCCTGGCCCTCTGGCGTCACAGCCAGCAGCCCACTCCCACCTGACCCACACAGCACTGTTACTCCTCTCAGGGAGCATTCTCCTCTGTCGCCCTCACTATGTGTCACTCCTGACTGCTGTGTCACTGAAGGGTGTTTACTTCATGCTGGTTTTCCACCGGAAGACATAGTGGGGAAAGATATTTTTAATAAAATGAGCAGTTTTCAGTGCCGACCTGAGTGACAGCCAGGCTAATGAGGTGTGGCTGACTCTTGTGGCAGTCATGACAAGCCAGGGCTCCAGTGGGACCCTCATCGTCCTGCATCCTCCCCAGGGGGCCCCACATCAGTGTTCCCAGGAGAAGAGCACATCCCTGCAGCCTTGGACACAGCATCTGTCCCCTGCCCACAGGTGAACTTGTCACCCACTTTCTGACCACTGATGTGGACAGCTTGTCCTACCTGAAGAAGGTCTCTGTGGAGGGCCATCTGTACAATGGCTTCAACCTCATAGCCGCCGACCTGAGGTGGGTCTGCGAGAGGGGGATGGCGGCCCTGCCCAGCACTGCCTCTGGGGCAGACCTCAGGCTCATCAGGAAGCTGGGTTCTACTGGGCCGTGGCAGCCTCTCCAGGGACATTGTTCCTGGTGACTTGGCAGACATTCCTAGGATAGAGCCTGTTACAGATGTACCAACTTGGGGACTTGGGGGTGAAGCCCAAGGCTTCCTGTGATGGCGTGAGGGCTGCTGGCTCCCTGGAGAAAGCCGAGGCTGTGAAGGGCAGCTGCATAGAGTGGCCCTGGCTGGGTGTCCCCCTCCAATGGGCAGGGTGTGCAGAGCAGCCCCTGGCAGCCTGGCCTGGAGTGGCTGGGATGCTGTGCTCCCAGGGAAGCTCCCGTTGGAGATGTGGCCACAGGAACTGCAGAGATTTTGTGTGTTTTGCCCTTCTGTGAAGCGAGCATTCCTCCCTTCTGCCCTCCCCCCCACTCCAGTACCCCAAAACTTGGCTAACACGGTTAGTCTGGTGCCTTCTGCCAGAACAGGCAAACAGGAAGCTGTCGGCACACCGTGGCAGGCCCTGAAACTGCCTCCTTCCACAAGGGCAGGTCCATGGGCCTCTTTCCTGGCTCCTGAGCTCCGGGCCTGCTGTTCTTGAGCATCCCTTATGTGTGGTTTGCCCAGCCCTGCCCCACATGGGTCTGCGCACTTGCTGTGGAGGCTGAGAGATTTGCAGCATCCCCTAGGTGGAGGGCTGAGGGCTGGCGCGGGCCACTTGCTGCCCGGAGCCCTTCTTTCTGTCCATGCCTTTGTGATTCCAGGAGGCAGAGCCCCTGTGCTCTCTGCATGCCCCCATGCTCAGGAACCACTTTGTCCAGTCAGCAGTTCCATGTGGGTCTGACTCAGCCTCAGGACAGTGGATCTGTGGCTGTGACACCAGCAGGACTCGGCGCTTAGCAGCTGTGTGCCGGTGGGGTGCCAAGGGTGCCATGCTCTGAGCAGGTGCATGGGCTCCTGTGGTCGGGGGGTGGGGGCTTGGGCTGCTCAGAGCCTGTGCAACTTGCCCGGCTCCAAAGGCTATAGAATGAGGGCCAGCCTCCTGCACCTTGCCTGAGGATACGGGCCATGGCCAGGAGAGCTACCATAGGTCAGGCAGAAGCTGGTGCCAGGGCCGAGGCTGGAGGGCGGGGGGCATCAGAGGTCAGTGAGCAGCCCTGCAGGTGGGTGCCAGTGAGGAAGCCAAGGCCTGGAAGAAGAGAGGCTTATCGCGGCCACAGCTATCCCCAGTGAGGCCCGCCCTTCGCCTGGCCTGTGCTGGCAGCCCTGACATAAGCATCCAGTTCTATAGGTCCTTACAGAGAAAGCCCAGAAGAGCTTTCTGCCTGCAAATAGTCTCTGAAATTATAAACCAAGCATCGGCCGGGCGCGGTGGCTCAAGCCTGTAATCCCAGCACTTTGGGAGGCCGAGGCGGGTGGATCACGAGGTCAAGAGATCGAGACCATCCTGGTCAACATGGTGAAACCCTGTCTCTACTAAAAATACAAAACATTAGCTGGGCATGGTGGCCTGTGCCTGTAATCCCAGCTACTCAGGAGGCTGAGGCAGGAGAATTGCCTGAACCCAGGAGGCGGAGGTTGCGGTGAGCCGAGATCGCGCCATTGCACTCCAGCCTGGGTAACATGAGTGAAACTCCGTCTCAAAAAATAAAAATAAATAAATAAAATAAACCAAGCATCTTGGGAAAGTTGCCAAAGGCCATGGTGAGAAAATACTGGAATGAAATGTGAATGTAGACTGGGGCTCCTGAAGCCTACTGGTGGGTCGGGGGAGGGCAGGTCCCACCTGGTGGACAGCACTTCTGGGAGGAAGGCACCACGCACGGCTCTTCCTCTGTATCTGTTCATCTTGAAGGCCCAGGGCTCCATGCCCAGCATCCGGCCTGGGAAGGCATCTCACAGGCCACAAAGAGACTCTCTTCACTTTGCAAAAAAGGCATTCCACGTTCTGGAAGACTTACTGTGGTATTAAGGATTGGAATATTTTCAGCTGGGGAGCATTCTTAACTATTTTCTTTTTTTAAATTATTTATTTCATAGAGATGAGGTCTTGCTGAAAGAGATGAGGTGTTGCTCAATCTGGTTTCAAACTCCTGACCTCAAGCAACCCTCTCTCCTCAGCCTCCAGAGTAGCTGGGATTATAGGCGTGAGCCACTATGCCCAGCTCAACTGTCCCGAACTATTTTCAAGTGTACACTTAGCAAATGAGAGTAGGAAGAGGTGGTCTTGGGCGCTTTCTTTGGAAGCCTCCATCTCCCTGGGGCCACCTGTCTAGAAACACTCAGAGATGAGCTGTGGTAGGGGTGCTGTTGGAGGGACTGGGGAAGTGGGGATGGGGCTCAGCCCTGCAGGTGCCCACAGGGATGGGCAGCCTCTGTGTATCTATGCTGTCGGGCATTTGGCAAGGTAGGAGGGCCTTTTAGATGCTTTGCCTCCCTGGCTGGTGGGCCCTGAGGTGAGCTGGAAACATACCCGTGTTGCCGGACAAGAGCTAGGGCCTCTATGACCCTGCCTGCCATGTGCCCGAGGGGCTGGGTCCTGCAAGCCCCTGGCCTGGCCACAGTGGGCTACTGTGTGCATCACCAACCTCCAGGATCAGGGCTGTGAGATGGTCAGGCAGTGTCAGGGGCAGGACACCCTATGGCTACAGTCCGACACTCTCTCCCCTTGGTCTGCAGCACAGCAAAGGGAGACGTCATTTGCTACTATGGGAACCGAGGAGAGCCTGATCCCATCGTTTTGACTCCAGGTGAGCCTGCCCTGGGAGCCTGATGAGGTGGCGGTTGTTCTATGCAGAGGTCACCCCTGTGCTTTTTAGAGACCAGGCCTTTGTCATATTACTCTCCTGGGACGACTTATGTGCCTTGTGGTCTGTAGGGACCTCAGTCTGCACTCCCCCCCATGGGGCTTTCCTGCTGAGTGAGATGCACCCCTGTTCTGGGCTTCCCACCATAGCCCTGCAGCCCACCCCCAGTCTCACCCCCTGCGCCATCCCAGTATGCCCTGTGCCCGTCCCTTCTCAGCACCTCTGGGGCCGTCACCACCCGGGGTTCTTGGTCCCTGACGTACACATACACACCCCACTGCAGCCCTGCACAGACACACGTCTCTTGCACCCGGTCCCTGGTCTGCTCCCCAGTCTCTGTCCTCAGGGCCTTGAGCTCCCCTGTGCCAGGTCATACTCCATGTCTGGGCCCTCCAGCCCTGGCTTTATGCCATTGCCCAGGCTGTGCCTTCTGCTAGGTGCCCTTTCTCTCCCTCCTCCTTGGGTGGTGCGATTTCCTGGAAGCTTCCTCTGCCGGTGCCCCAACCTGGACAGAATGTGTCACACTGCCCCCCTTTGCAGCCATGTTGTGGAAGGGAGGTCTGCATCTTGTCCCAGGTCTGATGCCAGCACAAAGCAGCACTCCTGGGAAATGGCATTTGCCCTGGGTGCGCAAAGCTGTAGGGACCAGAGCCCGGGATCCAGGGCCTACGGCATGCTCACTCCCACACCTGCTGCCCGCAGACACTCCTCGCTGGTGGCATCGTGGAAGTGTGTGCCTTAGATGCCCACTCTGGTCCCTCCACCCAAGCTGCTGGCCCACACAGGGTGTTCCAGCACCTGGGGAGAGTATCAGTGCCCTTGGTGCCACCCACATCCCTCTGTGAGGGGGCGCTCCTCTGTAGCTCTGTGCCTGCGTCACACAGACTTCCTTTTGCATTTGGCGCAAATCACCAAGTGAGGTTGCAGGTCACAGGTGCACACCTTCCCACTGGGTGCATATGGTGGGCCTGAAGCCCCAAGTGTCCCTGGAGGTGCCTGAGGGAGGTGGTAAGCAGTCCTCGGGACAGCTGAGTGGCCCCACCCCACCTGCGTCCTGGGGGGCTGATGGTGCTGGCCAGCTCATCATGACAGCTTCTCATGTCTGCCCAGTGATGTCTGGTCCACAGATGGGCCCAGCACCCCATTTGCTGGGGTGGTGCCCAGGCCTGGACACCTGGGCTACTTGGGATCCTCAGAGGTGGCATCTGCCTGGCCTGGAGGGTGGATTCCAGTGTGTCCTACCCACTGCCCCTCTGCATACCAGCTGGTGCCCTCTCCTCCATCTGGAGCTCGTCCTTCAGCCACCCTCGGTGACGCTGGCCTTCCCCTCCCTGCCTTCGATACAACTGTGGGTGGCCCAGCTGAGCTCCTAACAACTGGGCAGTGGCACAGACACAGACGCTGCCAGCAAGGCAGGAACATGGCCCCAGAAGGTCCTGAGCTTCCAAAGGATTGTTCTGGCTGTCTCAGCCGGCTCCTGCTGTTCCACCTGCCTCAGGGCCTCCCTGTGAGTCAGGGTCCTGGGGTTGGAATGTGCGGCGAGGTAGGTCTGTGACTGGGGCCACCCTGAGCCTGTGACTGCCCAGGAGAAAACCAGAAACTAAAAGGGGCAAAGTCAGAGACTCCCTCCCATCCCCTCATTCTGAACACTGGCCCAGAGGCCTCTGGGGCAGCCGCTGTAACCATCCCTGTGACACCCTTGGTTCTCAGAGGCTGAGATCCCAGTGGTCGGAGATGCTTATTTTCTGCTCAGTGGTTTTGGAGAAATTATTTCTGACTACATCCTGTCTCACCCCTGATCCTGCCCCACCTGGTCCACATTGCCTTTTTTTTAATAACAGCTTTATTGAGATAATGACTGACTAGCAGCACAGTTCACCCATTTACAATATATCATTCAGTAGGTTTCGGTTCATTCAGAGTTGAGCAACCATCATCACTACCTAATTCCAGGACCTTTTCTTGATCCCCAAAGAGAGCCATACCCGTCAGCAGCCACTCCCCATTCCGTCTCTTTAGCCCCTGAAACCTTTAATCTGCTTTTTATCTATGGATTTGCCTATTCTGGACACTTTGTATAAAGGGACTCTTATAATATGTAGTTTAGGGGACTGACTTTTTTCACTTAGTGTTGTCATCCAAAAGCCCACCAGCATGACTAAATAATAGAGAGCTTTATTCACTGTATCAGTTTGTAAACCCGGAAGAGAGAGTCTCGGGCATGGACTGAGGTGCTCTCTGAGGAGGGGAAGGGCAGTTTGAGGATTTTAGCATCAAAATGAGGTGGAATCTGGCTCTTTCCATCAGAAGGTGAGCTCTAGGACACGGTTGGAGTGCAGCCTTTATGAACTGCTGAAACCGTCTTAAGGTCTGTAGTTGCTTTTCAGAAAAGAGTGTTTGAAGTCTGGTCCTCTGTCTGGTCAGGGTTGTAGTGGTCTGGGCTGTAAGTCAGAGTCAGGAGGGTCTGATAATGTGTGTGATCACTACTATTGCGAGGGAATTTATCAAGAGTGTGGTTTTTCTTGTAGCCGTAGGAACTGAGGGAGTTGCCGAGCCGGCTACCCCGAACCCCGAGCGAGTAGGTACCTTCCGTTTCTTCCCTTCATCCACTAAGGGACACTGGAGTTGTTTTCGCCTTTTGGCTGTTGTGAATAGTGCTACTGCATGGTCATGTTTCTATGGCTCTTGTGTGAATACCTAGGGATGGAGTTGTTAAGTCATATGGTATCCCTGTTTAACCTTTTGAGGAATTTCCAAACTGTTTTCCAAAGCAGCTGAAGCGTTATGCATTCCCACCAGCAGTATATGAGGGGTGCAGTTTCTCCGAATCCTCACTAGCAATTGCTGTTGTTTGTGTTTTGATGATAGCCGCCATACTGGGTGGGAAGTGGTATGGCCCTGTGGTTTTGATTTGCGTTTCTCTGATGGCTGTGATGTTCAGCCATTTGTGTATCTTATTTGGAGAAATGAGTATTCAACTTGGGTTGTCTTTTTGAGTTATAGGAGTGCCTCATAATTGGTTCTAGCTAAAAGCCTCTTATTTAAAGCACAAAGCTTTCCATTTTGAAGTTACATGTTTTTCTTTTTTTCTTTTGTTGCTCATGCCTTCAGTTTCTTATCTAAGAAACCATTGCCTAATCTAAGGTCATAAAGCTTTCGCCCTATACTTTCTTCTCAGAGTTTTATAGTTTTCGCTCTTTCACTTAAGTCTTCGGTTTGATTTAACTTTTTTTTTTTTTTGTTTGTTTTTGTTTTGTTTTGTTTTTTTGAGGCAGAGTTTCACTCTTGTTACCCAGGCTGGAGTGCAATGGCGCGATCTCGGCTCACTGCAACCTCTGTCTCCTGGGTTCAGGCAATTCTCCTGCCTCAGCCTCCTGAGTAGCTGGGATTACAGGCACGTGCCACCATGCCCAGCTAATTTTTTGTATTTTTAGTAGAGACGGGGTTTCACCATGTTGACCAGGATGGTCTCGGTCTCTTGACCTCGTGATCCACCTGCCTCGGCCTCCCAAAGTGCTGGGATTACAGGCTTGAGCCACCGCGCCCGGCCTAACTTTTTTTTTTTTTTTGAGACAGGATCTGGCTCTGTCACCCAGGCTGGAGTGCAGTGGTGCAATCATGTCTCACTGCAGCCTCAACCTCCTGGACTTAAGAGATCCTCCCTCCCAAGTAGCTGTGACTGCAGATGTGTGCCACCATGTTCAGCTAATTGTTAGTGTTTTGTAGAGATAGGGTCTTACTATTTTACCCAGGTTGGTCTTGAACTCCTGGGATCCAGTGATCGTCCTGCCCTGGCCTCCCAATGTGCTGGGATTATAGGAGTGAGCCACCTCTCCCGGCCTGAGTCAACTTTTATGTATGGCGTGAGGTAGAGTCCAGCTCCATTCTTTGCCCATGGCTATGCAGTTGAATGGTCTTCCATGTTGTTCCTGATGGAAAAAGCAGGCTGGGTGTGGTGGCTCACACCTGTAATCCCAGCACTTTGGGAGGCCAAGGCAGATGCATCACGAGGTCAGGAGTTCGAGACCAGCCTGGCCAGCATGTTACGTGAAACCCCATCTCTATTAAAAATACAAAAATTAGCCAGGCATGGTGGCGCATGCATGTAATCCCAGCTACTCGGGAGGCTGAGGCAGCAGAATTGCTTGAACACAGGAGGCAGAGGTTGCAGTGAGCCAAGATCGCGCCACTGCACTCCAGCCTGGGTGACAGAATGAGACTGCATCGCAAAAAAAAAAAAAAAAAAGCACTGTGACACCTGGGGCTAGCGGCTTGGCTCTGGGGGCTCCAGCAGATCCCAGGCTATCTTCCTGGGAAATGCCTTGGCCAAGATCTTCTCCTGGAAGTCTGACGGGAAAGAGGTGGTGTCTCGGTGTCCCTGTCACGTCATTTGGGATGCATGCCTCCCATCAAGCTGTCCCCTGCTGCCCTGGCCTCTGGAGAAGAGCCTCTGAGGTGAAAGTCCCTGCCCTTCACTTTTTGTGACATGAGAAACCCTCTTCCTGTTGGCCATGCCTTCTGCCACCACTCTGGGCAGCTTGTTCTGAGAAGCTACAGGTCAGACTCCGTGCACTGAGACCCCTGGCTCTCCTAGCCAGGGCCTGGCTGGTATGCAGAGGTGGTCCTTGCTCGGCTGAGGCCCTGCCCGCATCTGTGCCCCCTATGTGGCACTCTTGGGGGTTCCCCACATAGGGACGTGATGGTGGTGGGTGCCTCCTGGCCTCTGGTGGCTAATTCTCCCACTCTTGACCTTCTCAGGTGGCCCCCCCAACCTGGCGTGAGGTGAAGAGGTTCCCTCTTGGCTGCCCCCTTTGCCTGTGAGATCTCAGGTTACTCATTTCTTATTCATCCATCCATTCAGGCTGCTGGGTATCTGTGCCTTGTGGTCTCCTGTGGATGCCCCTTCCACACACTGTTGAGTTCGCCACTCCTTGCCATGCTGTCAGGTCAGGAATGAACATAGGGAAGGTGCTGGAGCATGGGAGTGGCTTGGCCTCGGTCTGGCCTGATTTCATGGTCCCCAGCCATACCCCATGTTAGACAGGTGGCAGGTGGCAATTGGCCCTGACATGGCACAGCAGGGCTTCTCTATGGCCAGCTGACTGCTCCCCACAGGGACCTACGGACTGAGCAACGCGCTGCTGGAGACACCCTGGAGGAAGCTGTGCTTTGGGAAACAGCTCTTCCTGGAGGCTGTGGAGCGGAGCCAGGCGCTGCCCAAGGACGTGCTCATCGCTGACCTCCTGGATGTGCTCAACAACGAAGAGGCGTGAGTGGGCGGGTCCCTCTGGGGTGAGCCCCCATGTCCTCCCACCACTGGGCAGGGAAAGGCAGGCTCTGCTGCCCCAGGAGGCCTGTGGAGGTGCCCAGGCTGGGTACCCAGCTGCAGGGAAGCTGATGGACGTGCTGTCCTCCCTGCCTGTTCCCTTAGGCGAGCTGAGGTTTTCAGCAGGGACTTCTGATGACAGGAGATGGGCCCAGGCCCAGGCCCGGGGAGGTTCAGTGCACCCAGGGGAGGTTCAGTGCGCCCAGGGGAGGTTCAGTGCACCCAGAGGCTTGATGCACGCACATGGGCAAGAGCAGATGGATGCTTCCCTCTGCATGCCGAGGGCTAGCGGGAAGTTCCAGAAGATTCTAGACACTCAACAAACCCGGGGGGAAGAGACAAATCATGGAAACAAGTGGCCAGGATCAGCACTCTCAGGATTGATAGGGCTTCCTTCATGTGGTCTGTCCTCAGCGACCCTGGGCTAAGTGCTGGGCAGGGACTTGCAGTCCCGGGAACTGCCTGGGAGTAGGGAGCCCCCACCCACTTTGTTGCCCTTAGGCCTCGAGGCCCCTCAGAGGCAGGGCACTGGGGTCTTGGTTGCCCCAGCTGGGGGTCCTAGTGCCTCCCGAGCCAGCCTTTCTCCCACTGGGTGAGATGCCCCACATATCCCTCCCTCCCCACCCAGGTTAGGCCACAGTCCTGCCCAGGTGACCCAGTATCTGCTGTCACTCTGTCCAGCTCACCCCTCTCAGAGGAGCCCCCATGGCCTGTCTCCCACTTCTCCCCCGGGGACCCCTTTCTGCCCCCTGCTTCCTCCCTCTCCTCTGCGCTGCTGATCTGAGGCCTCATCCTTCAGCCTCAGCATAGTTGCCTCATTGGAAGAGCCCCATGGGCGTGCCCGGCAGCCCCTCCCAGGTGTACGTGCATACAGTCCCCTATCACTGTGCCACATGGGGCAGGCCCAGGACCGGCCCTGGCTGCCCTCACTAACGGCTGGAGCCCCGATGCTGGCCACAATGGCTGGCTTGAGTGGACTTCTGTCACGGTCTCAGGGCAGGCAGGGAGCCTGTGTGCCATCTAGGGCTGAAGCTCTGCAATTGAGTCGTTAAGTTAAGGGTAGATGGAGATTTTCCGCCTTGATCAGAAACAGGAAACAGGCCAGGCACGGTGACTCATGCTTGTAATCTTAGCAGTTTGGGAGGCCTAGGTGGGTGGGTTACCTGAGGTCAGGAGGTCAAGACCAGCCTGGCTAACATGGTGAAACCCTGTCTCTACTAAAAATACAAAATTAGATGGGCTTGGTGGTGCACACCTGTAATCCCAGCTACTTGGGAGGCTGAGGCAGGAGAATCACTTGAACCTAGGAGGTGGAGGTTGTAGTGAGCTGAGATCGAGCCATTGCATTCTAGCCTGGGTGACAAGAGCGAAACTCTGTGTCAAAAAAAGGAAAGAAAAGAAAAACAAAAAGAAAAGAGAAGAAAAACAACCCTTGCAGTCCCCCCTGGCCACTCCCTAGAGCCACTTAGGTCAGCAGGTGGGATGGGGCTAGACCTGGCTGTGCACAGGCCGCTGAGGGACTAATGGCCGCCACTTCCCTCCATCCTGCAGGCAGCTGCCGGACCCGGCCATCGAGGACCAGGGCCGGGAGTACGTGCAGCCCATACTGAGCAAGTACTCGGCTGTGTGTGTGCGCTGCCCTGGCTACGGCACCAGGTATTGCGGCACCGTGGGGGCGCCACCTCCTATCCACGTCCCACCTCCCAGGGCAGAGGGCTGGCAAAGGCCCGGTACCCCCATGCTCCATAGTCAGGGCCAGGCTCCTTCCCCGCCTGAGTGGATCCAGAGCTTCCGCCCTGAACGGACATCACTGCAGGGGTACACAGATGCCACAGGTTCCCAGGGCGCCGCAGGCCAGGCTTGCAGAGCCAGTACACAGCCATGCGGGGCCAGGATCGCCTCAGGGCTACCTGCACATTGGCGGATCCCTGCAGGAAAATGCCTTGGCACCATGGCACTAGGCCTGCCGACTGTACCCCTGGGTGGTGGCTGCTGGCCAGCCTTTCTCACCTGGGGCTGGCTGGCCCCTTGGCAGGTGCAGGGTGTCATTTCCTTCGGCCCCTCCTCTGTCATAGTCTCATCTTCCTATGTGTGAGGGGAACGCAGGTGCCAAGTCTGCTCCCTGGCAGGCCACATGACTGCTGGGAACTAGCCTGTGCCGGGGCTGCTGGGGGATCCAGTGCCACCCTCCATCTGCAAAGCCAGAGAGGGTTAGAGGAGAGGACAGTGTGCTCAGCGTTTGCTTCAGACTGGCCAGCATGGCCTGGGCAGTGGGAGAGATGGCACGGAGGGGGTCTTCCAGAGGAGGCCTCGGCCCCAGGTGGTCAACAGCTTGGCCTCTTGAAAGAGCCAGTTGTGGCTGAGTGTCTTGGAAGCTGGGCCTCTGAAGGGGAGGTGTGTGGTCAGCTCACAGGCTGCTCTGTGCTGTGGCTCATGCTACACGAGAGAGCAGGGCGGGGTGGGCTGGTTCCCAGTGGAGGTGGTAGGACTCAGCAAGTGTGGGCCTGTGGAGCCAACTGGGAGCCCACACGCCCCTGATGGTCCTTCCTCGTCCCCAAGCTGAGGCTGCTGCTCCTCTGTGACCTGGCACAGCCTCCAGGCATGGGGGTCCTGCCTCTACCTGCCTGGATTCTTGCCTTAGCTGTGGCTGTGACAGGCAGGACAGGGCTGAGGGACACCAGGTGAACCAGGGCCCCTGCTCTCTTTCAGAACCAACACCATCATCCTGGTAGATGCGGATGGCCATGTGACCTTCACTGAGCGTAGCATGCTGGACAAGGACCCCTCCCACTGGGAGACCAGCACCCACGAATTCACACTGCAGAGCTAACCCCACTTCTGGGCGTGCCCACTGGGCTCCTGGGAGGCCCCGCCTTGGGGACAGTTTGGACGGGAAACCTTCCTTGGTCATACTGCACTGCACTGCCTATGGCGTGGCCAGCATCCAAGCTCAGGGCCCTGTGGTTTGTGTGTTATCCGTCTGTGTCCCCACGCCCAGCTCAGGTCTGCCTTTATGCCAGTGGGGAGCAGCAGAGTCTGACACCAGGTCTAGGGCTGGCCCAGATATACCATGAACATGTGGATACATCTGAGCCCACTCCTGCACATGTACACAGCCACACACACAGCACACCCATACACTCCTGCACGTGCGCAAGCACGCACACACAAGGCACATACGTGCACACCGACACATGCACAGGTGTGTGCACACGTACATGCATAGGTGTACTACACATGTGCACAGCTGCACACACACACAGGTGCACACAGACCATGTCGGATGAGGCAGCAGGGTGACTCTTACCCCTCATGTGCTTTTGGCCAGTGGGTTTTTGTTCTGATCCAACAACAGGAGTAGGCTGGTGTTTAACAGCGGCCCCTCCTCTCCTGTGGCCACAGAGCACAGGTGTGCTTGGATTCTTGACAAGCAGAGCTGCCCCTGCAGAGGAGACAGCCACGTTTGGAATCGGGCACCAAGAAGACCTGAGAGAAACCCACTCTGATAACAGAAGTGCAGACTCAGTGGCCTTGAGTGTACCAGGTGTCCTGTGTGTTGGGGACAATACTGTGTGTGCCGGGAGGCTCCATGTGCACCAGGGGCTCTCAGACCCCCACTTGCCCAGCTGGAGGCCATGGCTCTGGCGGCCCCATCTCAGCCAGCCCTGCCCTCTCCCTCCTCTTTGCCAGTGAGGCAAACTTCGTAGGAATCTATACCTGAATGTGAGCTGCTGATAATAAAACTGAGGCTGTGGTGAGCGTGTTTTGAGACCTTTCCCTTGTGTGCAGGGTGCCAGTGGGAGCTATGCGTCTCCTGTGTGATCAGACACCCTGGACAAGGCCCTTCCCACCTCCCTTCCCACCTCACGGCTTCTTCAGCACCACTGATGGATGCCTGTGGGTCAGTCCATCTGTCCTTGGGCAGGGGCCACTGTGAGACACCCCATGTGCGTGGGATGTGGTAGGCGCTGGTTATGGGGCCAGCCACCCACACAGGGACATCAGGTCACTGTGGAGCCTGTGGGGGCCCCGCTGGAGGGGGAGGCATGGCTGGCCCGACTTCTGTTGCATGGTAGGGGCCAGGGGATGGTAGGAAGTGCAGGAGGGCGGGTCTGCATCTGTCTCAGCCCCGCGAGCTCCTGGTTTGGGGCCAGCTCTAAAGAGTTTGCATCCCTGGGCCTGGCCGAATTTAAGGGGGTCCCGCACATCCAATGCTGAGACCCAAGCTTTTCTAAGCCTCTGCACCCAACCCCTAACTTGGTCTTTTCGGATCCATGAGAGTGGGTGCGGACCTGCACCAGGGCTTCCCAGCCTGAGTGTGACATGATGCAGGTCCTCCTAGGGAGGAGCAGGGGCCTCCCTGTCCCTCCTCCTTCCTGCCCAGACCACTCTGCTGGGCTCAGAGCCTTCCATGGCTCACTTTGAACTCAGAAGAGGTTCCCGGCTGTGACCCAGGTTGCATCCCCAGGCCTGGGGAGAAACTAAGGCCCCAAGTCCCCTATGTGTCCTCTGAGTCAGGACAACAGGCTCCCAGCTGGGGGCACTGCCCTTGCTGTCAGCAGGTTCATCTCCAGCCGTCACCATGTCCTGCGCCAGCGTCCAGTGCCAGCACCCAATCTGGATGGTGCCCTGCCCTCATGAAGAGCCCCCCTGGGTGCTCACCTCTGCCCAGAGGCCTGACCTGCCCAGGAAGAGCAGTCCCTGCTCTTGCATGAGTCCCTCTGCCCCCATCCTGCCCAGGGCTCCCCAGCAGCCTGAGCCCCCTAAGGACGCACAGCCCTCAATGGTGATTCTACTGGTGTTATGAGTCACATCCCCCTAAAAAGATACATCAGTGTCCTGACCCACAGTACCGCAGAATGTGACTGCATTTGGGGATAGGGTTTTTCCAGGGGAAACCAAAGTAGAGTGAGGTCATTAGTGTGGGCCCTAATCCAGTATCACACTATCCTTATAAATGAAGACGACTTGGGCTGGGCAAGGTGGCTCAAGCCTTTAATTCCAGCACTTTGGGAGGCCGAGGTGGGCGGTTCACCTGAGGTTGGCAGTTTGAGACCAACCTGACCAACATGGTGAAGCCCCATCTCTACTAAAAATACAAAGTTAGCTGGGTGTGGTGGCACATGCCTATAATTTCCTGCTCTGGAGAGGGGCAGGAGAATCATTTGAACCTTGGAGACAGAGGTTGTGGTGAGCCGAGATTGCGCCATTGCACTCCAGCCTGGGCAACAAGAGCGAAACACCATCTCTAAAAGAAAAAAAAAGAGGAAGATTTAGGCTGGGTGCAGTGGCTTATGCCTGTAATCCCCACGCTTTAGGAAGCTGAGGCAGAGGTATTGCTTGAGCTCAGGAGTTCGAGACCAGCATGGGGCAACATGTCGAAACCCTGTCTCTACCAAAAAAAAAATACAAAAATTAGCTGGACCTGGTGGCTCATACCTGTAGTGCAAGGCTGATGTGGAAGAATCACTTGAACCCAGGAGGAAGAGGTTGCCGTGAGCCAAGATCGCACTATGCGCTCCAGCCTGGGCAACAGAGGGAGACTCTATCTAAAAAACAAAACAGGAAGATTTGGGCTGGGCACAGCAGCTCACACTTGTAGTCTCAGCCCTTTGGGAGGCCAAAGCTGGAGGACTGCTTGAGCCCAGATTAGTCTGGGCAGTATAGCAAGACCCCATCTCTAAAAATAAATTAGCAAGGCATGGTGGTGCACACCTGTAGTCCCAGCTACTCGGGAGGCTGAGGTAGGAGGATCATTTGAGCTCAGGAGGTTGAGGCTGCAGTGAGTTGTGATTGTACCACTGCACTTTAGCCTGGACGATGGAGAAAAAAGGAAAAAGGAAGATTTGGACATGGACAGATGCACACAGAACACTTGTGAAGACTGGAATTCTCCACGAGCCAAGGTCTCACCAGAAGCTGGGAGAGGGGGCTGCTTCAGAGCATCTCCTGGAGCCTTCAGAGGGAGCAGGACTGCTGTCCCTCTGATCATGGGCTTCCAGCCTCCAGAGCTATGTGACAATAAATGTGTTACTTAAGTGGTTCCATTTGTGATGCCTTTCTTTTTTTGAGACAGAGTCTCACTCCATTGCCCATTCTGGGATGCGGCGGCAAGATCACAGCTCACTGCAGCTTCTGCCTCCTGGGCTCAGGCCATCTTCCCACCTCAGTCTCCTGTGTAGATAGGGCTACAGGTGCATACCACCACGTCCAGCAAATTTTTGTATTTTTTATAGAGACGGGTTTTACTGTGTTGCCTGAACTGGTCCCAAACTCCTGGGCTCAAGTGATCCTCCCACCTTGGCCTCCCGTAGTGCTGGGATTACAGGTGTGAGCTACTGTGCCCAGCCCTTGGTGCTTTTTTAAGGAGGCCCTAACAGACTAACACCGTTGTGATCTTCACCTTACAGATGAGGAAACAGGCTTGGGGAGACACCATAATGGCCCCCCCAGCTCCCAGCCAGGTGGAAAGGCAGAACCATGGGCCAGGACAGAATAGGATGAGTACAAGGTGGCATCTCTGGAGGTGCCTGCCCCACAGATCTATGGTCCTCCCATGCTGGTGTCCCCACAATGTCTGGCACTGCTCCCCACTTCACCTTACTTGCCCAGGCCTCCCGCATACCCTCAACTCAGAGCTACACACTCTGCATAGCTCCTGTCCCAGGGCCTTTGCACTCAACTTCCCTGCAGATATCCAAAGCACACTCTCACCCAATTCCTTCAGGTCTTTACTAAAGTCTCGGGCAGGCAACTCATTTAAAATAACAGTCTAGCCCGGCACAGTGGCACACGCCTATAATCCCAGCTACTTGGGAGGCTGAGGTGGGAGGATTGCTTGAGCCCAGGAGTTGAGGCTGCAGTAAGCCATGATTGCACGACTGCACTCCAGCCTGGGTGACACAAACCCCCATTTTTTTTTTTTTTTTTTTTTTTGAGACGGAGTTTCACTCTTGTTACCCAGGCTGGAGTGCAATGGCGCGATCTTGGCTCACCGCAACCTCCGCCTCCCGGGTTCAGGCAATTCTCCTGCCTCAACCTCCTGAGTAGCTGGGATTACAGGCACGCACCACCATGCCCAGCTAATTTTTTGTAGTTTTAGTGGAGACAGGGTTTCATCATGTTGACCAGGATGGTCTCGATCTCTTGACCTTGTGATCCACCCGCCTCGGCCTCCCAAAGTGCTGGGATTACAGGCTTGAGCCACCGCGCCTGGCCACAAGCCCCCATTTTGAAAGAAAAAATCAGGAGGCTGGCCGCAGTGGCTCACACCTGTAATCCCAGCAATTTGGGAGGCTAAGGTGGGTGGATCACTTGAGGCCAGGAGTTCAAGACTGGCCTGACCAACATGGTGAAACCCTGTTTCTACTAAATATGCAAAAAGTAGCTGGGCATGGTGCCTGGTGCCTGTAATCCCAGCTATTCATGAGGTTAAGGCAGGAGAATCCCTTGAACCTGGGAGAAGGAGGCTTCAGTGAGCTGAGATCGCACCACTGCACTCCAGCCTGGGTGACAGAGCTAGATTCCATCTCAAAGAAAGAGAGAGAGGAGAGAGAGGGAGGGAGGAGGAAGAGAGCTAGATTCCATCTCAAAAAAAGGAAGGAAGGAGGGAGGGAGAGGAGGAGGAAAGGAAGGAAGAGAGGGAAGGAGGCTCTTTATGGCAGTGAGGAAGGAAGGAAGGATGGACGGAAGGAAGGCAGGCTGTTTTTCTCTGTGGCAGTGAGGAAGGGAGGGAGGGAGGAAGGCAGGCTGGCTCTTTTCCTCTATGGCGGTGAGGAAGGGAGGGAGGGAAGGAAGGAGGGAGGGAGGGAGGGAGGGAGGGAGGAAGGCAGGCCGGCTCCTTTCCCTCTATGGCGGTGAGCACCATCTGGCATGCTGCGTGCTAGGATTGTTTCTTGCCTATTTCTCCATCAGAATGGGAGCTTCAGGAAGGCAGGGACCTTTCTTCTCTTGCCCACCACTGTACCCTATGCCCAGGCCAGGTAGACATTTGAGCCAAGAATGACTGCTGGTGCTTCCCAAGCTCCCATTTACTTGGGCCAACCCCTTGATGCAAGGCCCTTGTGCTAGGAGAGGGTACAGAGGCCCAAAGCCAGTGCCTTCTAGAAGAGCTTTGGACGTGACACCAGGAAGGCCTGGGCCTGAACAATGGCCTTCCTGGCACTGCCCAGCCAGTCCTCTGTGCTTGTCGTCAGATGCACCTGATCCCTGCATCTCCAGCATGGGTCCCTCTCTCCCAGGCAGATGGGGAGCTCACCTTCTTCTCAGATGCCCCTTCCCAACTTAAGCTGCTTCTGCCCTCAGGCCCTGAGATGGTCAAGTTGAGCTGTGTAGACAGGAGTCTGGAGACAGGGCTGGCCACCTGGAGGCAGTTATGAACAGACATAGCCAGGCCAGGAATGCGCATGGCCTCAGGTCTCATCCTGGAAGGCCTGGGCTCCTGGTCTGCCTGCAGACTCTCTGAGACAATGTCTTTTGGTCTCATCTGACAGCATATGACTGGTTCATGGGTGAGCTGGGCTTAGATGGAAACGCAGGAGCCCAGAAGGAAAGGATTCTTCCCCAGCTTGGGCTGGAGTCCCAGCTTTCAGGCATCAATCTGTGCAACGCTGGGGCTGGGGCTGGATGAGGTTCCATGGTAAGGATTCTTGTCTGTCACCTAGTTGGTCCCAGACTGTGGGAAACTGGCTGTGGTGGGCAGGTCTGGGGTCTCAAATCTGATAGGGGCCAGTAGAGCCTTCAAGTCACCAGTCAACCAAGT